AAATCTTTACATTTTTTCACGAATTTTCCAATTTGCATAAAAAAGCTAACAGTCACTATTGTTGTAGGAGTCAAGGCGCATTTGCGGACAAATACTAAAATTCTATGGAAAGTGTTTTTGCGCCAAGAGCAAATGCTACTAGGCATGTGAGTTTAGATCGTGATTTTCAATTTTCAGCTATTAAATTTTTGACAACTGCATTAGGGGACTGAATATTTTGTATGGCAATTGTAGTTTTTCTCTAGGTTTATAAATTGGCTGTTTTGCATATCTTGATTGTCAACCTAGTATTTGTTAATAAACTCTGAATTAAATTCTCTACATGAAAAGAAATACAAAGAAATCATATTTTTTTATTTATATAGAACTGAACTTTTTTTAACAAAAACTTTTTGATATTTTAGGTAAATATATCTTATACCATGAATAATGTTTTATTATAATAATAAGGTTTTATTAAATGAAGTAGCTGATCCGACCTGCGTTGCCAAGCCACAGTTTCAGTGTTTAATGCACCTTTCAAAGAATAAAATAATCTAATATTCCTACTCATATAAAATTTATTGTTGTGAATCCTCTGTTTGAAAAAAGCTGTACTTTGTTCAGATTTCAACTAAAGTAGATCTAAAAATTCACGGTTTTTATGTTTTGTGGGCTATTGCTGCAGATCTTTCAACCAGTTTCTCTACTTATGATAAAGTATATATTCATGAACCGACCTACTTCAAGTCCTTTGAAGCTCCTAATCACTGTATTATAATGGTCATAAATTATAATGGTCATAACAGATCTTATCCTTATCCTTATCTTAGATCCGTGTTCGGCAGCGATTTAGGCACACATCCAGCTTTTGGTTTTGTCTACCTCGTTATTGTCTTTATATGGCGAGTCTCATTTAAAGCTTGCATAACAAATGCCTATCAAATAGTTTAATATAGGTTCAAATTTAGGCATAGTTATTACAGACATATTACATTTCATAAACATTTTCAAGAGAAAAAAAATCAGAAGATCTATTATAGAACTGTCCCTTGATACCTTATGTCAATTCATTGTGATTGGCCTAATTCTCAAGAGAATGAGTTGCACATCACCATTTTGGGTACAAAGTGGATAGAAATTTCCAATACCGATCTACTTTTTAACATAACGTGGAATATAGCTGTGTAGGTCAACTTTAGATGTTTCGAAGCACTAATGCGACTACAGCATCCATTCAGTTAAGCTACCACAGAATTCCGTACTATATGTACTATAATGCATATTTTACACATTTGTGGAATATATTATCGGATTTATAAATATACACAATCTATAAATAACAGTTTTGTTCCATCGCATTAGAATTAAAAAAACACTACTAATGTGCATTCAACAATACTAAGTCAAAATTAAAAAAATAAGTTAAATAGCTGTAAGTTCGGCCGGGCCGAACTTTGAATACCCTCCACCATTTGGAACGAATTTGGCAATTCTCAAAAACAATAAAATTCGTTAAAACTTCTGTTAAAATCTTAGAAATACCGAATGTAGCTATTATATTAGGGTCTATACGAGGACATGAACCTGCGTAGGTAACATTTGTCATAAGCCATTACAATATTCAAATGCGAAACTTAAAAAAATCGGTTATAATGTCGATAAAATCAAAATACCGAATATCGGGAGGTACCGTTATATGGGGGCTATACGAAGACATGGACATGTACAGACAATTTCCTGTCGTAGGCTGTAGTATCCATTACGAACTTTAGATGTCAAACTTAAAACAATTCTGGTGAAAAATGTCCCTAAAATCATTAAAATACTGAATATCGGGAGGTACCGTTATATGGGGGCTTTTCGAAGAGGTGAACCTGCACAGACAATTTTCTGTCTTAGGCTGTAGTATCCATTACAAACTTAAAATATCAAATTTGAAACTATTCCGGTGAAAAATGTGGCTAAAATCTTCAAAATACCGAATATCGGGAGGAACAGGTAACGTGGACTTACATGGCTCATTGTCAATACTTTTAATAGCCTCCACCTTAGGGTAAAAGAAACATTAGAACCCATTATGATCCACAAATACCAATTTTTAGACATATTCAGGGGAAAATGTGGCGAAAATTATCAAAATACTGATCATCGGGAGGTACCGCTATATGGTACTATACAAAAACGTGGACTTATACATACAATGTTTCGACAAAGCTCGAACCCATTAGGGCCCACAAATACCAATTTTTAGACAAATCCGCGAAGTAATGTGGCAACAATTATCAAAATACCGAATATCGTTATATGAGAGCTATATCAAAACGTGGACCTATACATACAATGTTTTTCCACCGGAGCTATAACCCATTATGACCAACAAATACCAATTTTTAGCTAAATCCGTGATAAAAATCATCAAAATAGCGAATATTGGGAGGTACCGTCATATTGGGACTATATAAAAACGTGAACCGATATATCTGAGTTTCAATACCAACCATAGCAGACACAATACAAATTGTTCTGCTAAATTTTGACGCTCTACATCAAATAATGTGTGCTGTATCGTGATTTTAACAAACAGACAGACGAACATCGTTAAATCGAGGTAGGATTTTATGATGATTATGAATATATATAATTTTTGGGGTCTACGACGAATATTGATTGATGTTACAAACAGAATGACAAAGTTAATATACCCTCCTTTCCATGGTGGAGGGTATATAAAAAATAATGGTATATAACACATTACAATTGCACATTCCGAAAGGAAAAAAAAAATAAGTTGAACATTTTACGGCGATTTATTTGGATTTTTTTCAGATTCAAGGGCAAGAGAAAAAAAGTAAAATAGTCTTAACTTCAGTCACCCGGATTTCTGTGAAAAATTTACGTTTACGTTGGATATTTCTCGTACGTCGAATTTTTATTCGAATAAAGTTCGAAGTTGACAAATACCTGTCAGTTGTTTAAAATACCAAATATGTATTTGGATTATACACAATTACACCAAATTACGTGGAACGATTTTCGGATTTTCTATCTTTCGTACCATGTACCTCCCGATTAGGCACTTGTAGGTCATAATGAACCACTATGATGTAGTACGTCATTGTAGCCCAAGTAAAGTTTTGAGCCCCCTCTAAGAGAAACCTTACATGTCTTTTCATCAAACATTACGTCCAGATACTTCAACTTGTCGACCACAGGCATGGATTCTCCTCCTTGTCTTAGGACTGTGCAAAAGGATCTAAAGTTGGGATTCCAAACTTAAGATTCACCCTTAAAAACTACGGCTTCACATTTGCCCACATTCAGCTAGAGGCCTATATAGAGAAGTTTCTACGTAGAATAAGATAACGTAACAAGGGGGCTCAGGCAAAAATATTAACATTATCGGGCCCAGAAGGGAACCCTGGGGGACTCCTACCCCTACCTTGACCCTAAAGACCTTATCTTTTAGAAATCTGACTACCAATCTGCATGTTTGGTGGTGAAAACCAAATTGCTTCATTTTAAAGAGAATGCCGTTGTGCCAAACGGAATCAAACGCTTTGGCAAAATCAAGCTCTATGGCAATGGTTCCATGTCTCTGATCAAGGATTTTTACAACAAAGGAAGCAAATACCGTCAGAACATGTGATGTCGAGTGGCGTATCCACAAGCCAAATGGTCTATTATAGAAAATCCTCTTGTCCACGGGAAGTGGTTGAAGAGTACAAACCAGCTTTTACATTACCAGCTTTTTTCAAAGCGGTCTCTGGAATTCTGTCTAAATCACATATTTTTTGCCGGTTTTCCTGCGAAAGCATTGGGCTTATGAGGTCAGCTTCCTCCCAACTAGTGGGCCTGGCAATTGAGGAACCATCTGCAGTAAACGTGGAGCAAACCGTCACCATAGGGACCAAATCGTCCATGTCCTCCGCTACTAGATTAACAGAGCACTGGAAATAATGGTCCATTTGTCCATTCACTTTTCTAAACCCACTTTGCAGATGATTGGCAAGGGCTTCGGCGAATATAACGATAACCCCACCATTTCCATCCAATAGGTTCCTTGTATGCAAGCCCAGCTTACCTATATTCAAATTACGTATGTCAGCCCTGAGTGTCATAAATCTGGATGGATCAATGGATATCCGTAGGGTCTTACAGTTTCTTTGGCGTTCTTAAATAAAACCAAGTATCCTAGGGGCAAGACTTCCTAGGGCCGTATGCATGCATTTGAGACAGAAACCTCGATGGCATTCTTAAAAATCGTTTCCAAATTGTAAACAATCCTGTCAATATCTTCGACGGAGAAATTTGCATCAGCAGGTAGAGACTTATTTCAGCAGGTTATGACTTATTTCTCTCTTGAAACGGTTAATGTTCACTTTGTTAAAGTTCTGGTACGAGTTCGCTTCACTGGTGAGGAAACCACCCAAGCGAATAACCACCCCCTCATGTAACGGTCGCACCCACATTATGGCATTTTTAAGACCTTTTACTTCAATCTTCAATCGATTATACTGAACCTAAATCGAATAAAACATTTCGATATTTTTTAGTTTTAAAAGTTTTTTTAACCTCAAGGTGCAGGATATTTAAAGTTCGATTCAGCAGAACTTACTTGTATTGATAGAGAGCTCAATTTTATGACGATTTCCACTATATATGTTGGTAGATATAGGCATTCATCTTAGGTAACTTATTAATTCTATAAAGATTTTGCTTAATTTTATTAAAATTTTTATTTTAATAATGTTTGTCAACTTTCTTTCAATAATACAAACACAAGTTCATGCCTTCTATATTTTCTTCCCAGAGATATATCATAATATTAGAAAATTAATTTGATTTACTTGAATATTTGTCCATCACAAACCGCAGCATCCGTATTCAAGCATTAAGACTCTCAAATATGTAAGGAAACCACGAGACGTAACCCAACAGCCACTCTTGCCGTACTCCAACCATATTTAAATATCTTTGCATATTTGCAAATTTGCATAACATATCACAACTAATGTGATTTATATCAATTCTGAAATCTCATTATCATCACTATAATCACAAACTATCAGTGGCATGTCACTCGAGGTAATGTCACCCAGTGAAGACATGCTATTCCTTACGAATACACTCCATCCTATATGTGCATGTATGTATGTAAATATTTATGTATATTTGAATCTGTACTACCATAAAGTGGCCACATATCTCCTTCGAATCTATCACTGGCAATATATCTAATGCATGACGACGACGATGCTGTTGGTTGTTGGGGTTGACATTGCTGTTGTTGTTTATTATATGCCTCATCATCTCTGCATACATTTACTCATTTATTCATTCAACGGGTTGTTGCTTTTCCACTGCAACTGAGATCAGTCACCAAAATACTTGTGTTGAGAAGAATGGTATACATATTGTACGAATGTATGTATGTGTGTTTTTGTGCTCTTGGTGTGTTCAACGATTGTTCCGTCTTAAAGGAAAATGTGTGTCACCGTCACCAGCATTGTCAACATCCTTAGCGTCATCGTCACCCATGCCCACCCTCTCCAAACACTCTGAGATTTTTCTCTGTTTATGATGTTTTGAACTATTATAAACCAACAACATCATCAGTAAGCATCTCTAGGCACATCCATCTATTCATAATGACACCCAACAACAATATTTCATCAGTTATTTGAAGCCTGCATGTTTAGATTTGGGCCAGAGCAGTAACATGGAACAAATAGCGACGCTTGAGATGTGGCGCTGCTCTGCGTTACTGGCATGGCTTCTGTTGTTGTGCCGACATTGACATGGAGTAAGGCTAGGTGCTAGGCTAATGGTGTGCTGGTCCTGGCGTTGATGATGTCTTACTGCATTTCGCTGCACACTCACACATTTGTAAGTCATTATTTTAGCCTTCTCTAAAACATTAGCATCATCTCACATCACATTATTATCATCGTCATTGTCGTCGTCATTGGAATCTTCGTTGTCGTCATCGTCATCCGCATCATCTTCACAGGGGAAATGCATTTTGCATCGCATCATGTCATTTCATATTTACTTCAAAATGTTGGTAATCTACATTATCAACTATTTGTATATGCAATGCAATTACGAGGGGAGATTCGTGGAGCAATTTATAAAGCCTTTGGACAACATCGTTTTATAGTTTTGTGACTAAGGTTTTATGTTTTGAAAATAGAAAAAAAAGTGGTTAGTTATGGTTAGAACAATTGAGTCTTTAGGCGATATTAGATGGAATGTGTTTTACATATTGCTAATTAAGTTAAAAATGGTACATCGTAAATAAATTAATTTTGAGAAAAAAAAGCTCATGAAATTTGAAAAAAATATTATTAAAAAAAAAGAAAATAATTTCAACGACCATATATTGCAATAAGCTAACTAGATGCTATAGACAAATTTTTATGCAAGAACAATCATGTTTTAAAGTATTTTAGAGCTTATTATGCACCCACTTAATTTTTTGTCGAGTTATTAGTTACGAGCTGCAACCCATTGAGTTCTAGAGACATCAACATGAAAGTCTGACACAAGTAGAATTCTTAAAAAATGTTAATTCAACCACTTTTTTATTTTTGTCCTTCTAATACCTAATTCGGTGTATGCGTTCAAGTTGTCATTTTATCTTCGATTCATAATTCCTAATATCACACTTAAATTTTTCGGTTTTCTTTAATTGTATTGTACAAAACATTACAAAACTATGAAAACTTCTGCACATGCATGTGTACATGTACTTTACTCGTGTTATCCGTCTTCGAGATATGAAAATGTATATACAAGTGAGATGAAAAAACTGCATTTAATGTAAATAAATGTTTTGTGTATCGTACCATGAAAATGTATATACAGGTGAGATGAAAAAACTGCATTTAATGTAAATAAATGTTTTGTGTATCGTACCATCACTCGTTACCGTGATACTAATAGCGTAGCCTGGCGTCAAGGAGATGGTCGGTAGAAAACAGCAACATCAGCAGAAATGGTTCAAAAAGTAAAGACGCGACTTGATCGAAACCCGCGTCGCTGTGGCCGAAAAATGGCTCGTGACAAACAAAATTATCGTGTTTACTTGCCAAAGAGGTCAGCTGAAAATGTGCACCTTCGGTTGGCTACCAGAACTCAAGCGCAGGCCATGGTGATGGTGTGGGCCGCCATAACAGCCGATGGTCGCTCTCCGCTCGTATTAATCGACAGTGGCATCAGAATAAATGTCCAATATTATCGCGAAATTCTGGAGGGTGTATTAAAGCATTGGGCACGCAAACATTTTGGCCGCAGACCTTGGACATTCCAAAAGGACTCAGCACCATCGCACTCAGCACGCGCCACCCACGAATGGTTACGAAGTGAGGTTCCTCGCTTCATTTTCAGCGTACAATGGCCGCCAAAATCTCCGGATACCAATCCGTTGGACTATTGTGTCTGGAGTATTTTGGCTGGCAAGGTTGGCATTAAAAAAATACAAAAGTGTCGATCACCTTAAGCAAGCGCTTCGCCGGGAATGGGCCAAAATACCGCAGAGCAAAAATCGGGCAGCTGAAAATTGATTCAGTAGTGCCAAATCTCATATATATTTTGCATCCTATGATAGACATTAGTTCCGATTTAAAAAGAGCTCCCATATGTAATTCCCTCCGACGAAAAGTAAATGATTCTTCAAAAATGCTATAGGTAATTTTGCTCAGATTAGAATTAAGTAAGTTTGGAGATGGCTAAAGCTATCATGTATTTATATTTACTTAATTTGATATGTAAGCTTTCCAAATGCTGTAATAGGCCCTGCAGAACAATGATATTCGTTACGGAGTATCCCATAGAGTGTCGCATAGTCTAGATATGATTCAAATATATAATTCATTTCAAGCTTCATTTATCCAATTAAGATATAATTTTTATCATGCAATCTAGTTTCTTTCGATTTCGGTATTTAGACCGTACTTAAACAGTAATACACATGCGGCAATAGTTGCTGCAAACCAAACCCCAATACAAACATTGGTAATTGAGTCCTTGTTGAATAATCTGAGTATTGTAGATTATTGTACGGTATGTAGTACTTTCATTGTTAATTTATAAAATAGGGAAGTCATAGGGAACGAGTACTTGTTCCACGCATTTTCTAACGTAGTGTTTTGTATTCGTGTGTTTTTAAACCAAAACTCATGAACTAATAGGAATCATGAACCTTTAGCTTTTTGTCAAATATGTGTTTCCTTTTGCGATCTCTATGTCCCCATCTAGTTGTGAGCAACTTAAAAAATTGTCGAAAATATATTTTTAAGAATATCAAAAATTAAATTGAAAATAACTAATACAAAACAGGAGAATGTTTTTAAATTTCATCAAATATGCGTGTCGAATTTTGAATTTACTTTAACTTCTGGCTGCTACCATCGTATCCTTAATTCTGTTCCAACATATTTTGTTAGTTGGTAGTTCTTTGTTTACATGAACTCTGTGCAGAAGTGGTTCGCACACAAAGAGTATAAATTTCCTCAGGGTGTTTGTTTTAGTGACAAACAAAACAAAAACATTTGAATAACCTTGTTTCAGCGGTATTTACTTAGAGGGAGGAATAAAGTAGAATGCATAGAAAATCAGAATGAATTAGATGTAATTAGAATAATTGCAATACACATTTCTAAATATTGATGTTTTTTTTTTTGGAGAATATGGCTGTTAGAATAATATGATCTCAATAGGGAAGACATTTGCTATACATTTGAATTTGTTCCATAACATGATGCAAAAGCAACATAAAGATTTTTGAATAATGACAATAAAAGGTTTTCTTTAAATGTCATAACATCTTATAAATAATATTTGTCACAATCAACATACTTCTCACAAAACACCGTTAACGACCTCTCACCAGAACTTGTAATTTTTAAATTATTCATTATTTTAAATTCAGGATTAATACGAATCTTCACAACGAAATATAATAAATTCGAACGCTTATAACTCTTCCAGTTGGAGCGAATAACACGCGTTTCATGCCACCACATGGAGATTGCTCATGTATGTCTATAATAATCATGGCCCAATATATCCATCCACTTTTGAATATGGTCCGTTTATTTGGCACAGGAACCTTAACACATACGTACATGGAAGAAAACTCGTAACTTGCGTGAAACATGTTAATAATTTACAATTTGGTATTCATAAATAAAGTGTCATACATATGGACACAATGCTGGATTTCCAACGTCTGTCCGAGTGCCAAGAGAGAGCGATGAATAAAACACTTGGTTAGCATTGTAACAAGTAAATGATGCATTTTTCTTTGCCATATCCTAATGCAAATAGAAATACACTCAGAAAATGGTGTTGTGTTGAAAATTCGGACATTGGGAAATAAAAAATATGTGTGCGTATGGTACTGTTAGTGATTTTTTTTACATTTTCCCTACATCGTTTGCGGGAATTCAAAATTAAAAAAAAATTACAAAAAAAAAATCTTAGTTGATTAAATTAAGATCCTATTGCCAACAATTCGTACTTCTTCTAACTTAACCTCCCGGCAAACAAAATACACCTCTGTGCCAAATCTGTGCTTTCTATTGGAAGTTGTTTGGACTCTAACGTGTTTGCAACAGACGGAGCTGTAGGAAAATTTTTCAAAATTTACAAAACAATAAATTTCAGAAAAATGATTGTAATTTAAATTGATAGTACGATCCATGTAATTAAATGTTTGAAGATTATTTTAAGCAAATGTTCTAATTTGACATACTCTTTCCAACCTTTCGCCTGGTATCTTCCGAATAAATGCTAAAATGTTGTATCCCAATGGTCAGTTGGTCATACGTTAATTCAGCCTATTTATGAGCCCATTAAGCCAAAAATGAGCCTCGTAACTGCACATAATTTTTCCAAATAAATGTGGATCTTCGGCCAATTTTCCATTCAGCAAGTTCTGCAATACGGTACGTCCTTCGGCTTCTCTTCTGCCACAGCTGCATTTTGAAAGACATAGATCCTTCCGCAAAATGCTCCATGTTGTTGAGTAATAGAGGCTCAATTGCTGGGAACGGCGACGAATCTATAAATGAAAGTCATCATTAACACTGGCCAATTCATTTGTGTTTTGACCATATATTCGAATCGATTTGACTGACAATTAACATTTTAATTTCTTCGTAGATAGACATTCTTCCTACAGAAGATGTCTAACAATATAATATGTAATATAAATACCAAAATAATCCTCGTGTTTTTATCTGCAACATTTCCGAGATCACTATACACCTAAAATCAACGAATTCCGAGGAATAATAATTTGAAAGTATCAAAAGGTTACATTGCGATGTCAACTTTCAAAACGTCAATTCACGTGTATCCATTCATAGCTCTACTTTCATAATCTGCAGGATTTCCCCTGTAATTATTTTTGTGTTGGAGAGTGTTATCCCAGTTATAATATACAACCTAATCTATCTATATATATAAAAATCAATTGTTGTTCGTTGGTAATGGAATCAGTTGAGAACGGCTGGGCCGATTTACATAATTTTGTGCACAAACGTTCGTCATAACCCGAGTTAGGTTTTAATAGAAAAAAATATTGACCACGCCTTCTTTCACGCCCACTATTTCGATTTATCTAAAATGCTTATATTTGCCAAAATTATAAAGATATCGGTTTGAAAATTATTACACGACATACTGTTGGCTTTCCATCCAACACTAAGTACTTACTTGGGGGCTGAGGAACTGACACGCCTACTTTTTAATCTATAATACAAATCAATTGTTGTTTGTTTGTAATTGAATCAATTGAGAACGGCTGGAGCGATTTGGATATATATTTTTTTAAATATTCGTCCTACCCCGGTTAGGTTTTTATGTAAAGAAAAAGTGACCACGCCTACTTTTGCGCACATTTTTTCGATTTCCCTAAAATCTTAATATTTTCCAAAATAATGAAGATATCAGTTTCGTAGTTAGTAGATGACGTACTATTGACTCTCACTCTGTTTAGGGTCAGAGGAACTGGC